ACATTATTAGATGCATTCTTGCCCTTCAGTTGAAAGTTACGACCTAATCTCACTCAGTCAGTGAGTTTTTTGCGGCGCTTCTTCTCAGCACTTGCCAAATGTTGGTCGCGAAGCGCTGGTAGGGCAAAACGATTATAGACTTGTGAAGGCTCCATAAGAGCAACACTTTTAAATAGTATATTTTTTAATTAGTCTTTTATTATTATTATTTATTTGCACTATCTATACTAATATTATAAATGCGAAAGTAACTCTGTCAGTCTGTCTGTCTGTCTTGCTTTCACGCCTAAACCACTGAATCGATTTTGATGAAAAGCATAGAGATATTTTGAGTCCCGGGAAAGGACATAGGATAGTTTTATCCCGGTTTTTGAAACAGGGACGCGCGCGATAAAGTTTTTCTGTGACAGACAAAATCCCACGCGTGCGGAGCGCTAGTTTAAATAAATTCAAATTCAAATAGTTTATTCAGTACATAGGCCCTTTCCAGGGCACTTATATACGTCTCAAATATAGCTTGCCCTACCACCACTTCGGGACAACATAATGGGCTGGTGCTGAGAAGAAGTGGCGGAAGAAACTCAGTCACTTAAGTCAATATTCTATGCAAATAAAGAAACTTTGAGAACTGAGGTATAGTGCGGCGCGGGAGGGGTGACATTGACATAATTAAGATAAAATATGATAGAGCATATAAATCTGAAGAAGATCTGAAGTCTCGCTGACGTTTGACGTTACTAAAACACCCTCCCGTGTCCCTCTCATACCTCAGGCACTGACTGAGCTATTCGCTAGACATATAAAAACTCGTACTGTAAAAAGGAAAAATTTGATTGTTTGTTTGTATTGAATATCCTCGAAAACTACTGGATCGATTATAAAAATTCTTTCACCATTAGAATCTTACATTATTTTTGAAGAACATAGGCAATACGAAGTTCGCTGGGTCAGCTAGTCTAAATTATAAAACTCAAAATATACAACATCAACGCACAGCTCAAACCACTGGACGGATCGAGCTGAAATTTGGCATGCAGGTAGATGTTATGACGTAGGCATCCGCTAAGAAAGGATTTTACAAAACTCCACCCCTAAGGGGGTAAAATGGGATTCACGCTTACGAAGTCGCGGGCGGCCGCTAGTTAAAGATAAATAATCTACATGTTTATATAGAACCTCCAATACTCTATTGGTTTTTTCGTGAATTTGTGAAAGCTTCGTCTCGTAAGCTTTAGCACCGGAAGCTTTTCATTCGCTAGTCGGATTAACTAAGTAAGCACATTACAAAGGCCCACTCTACGTAGAGTTGTGTTAAAAAACATACTTCATTTTATGTAGGCATTATTTAGTATGAAATGACTACAGACACACATAGTACGCAGAACTGACGGCCGATGGGGCAGCAGGGTTCTGGAGTGGAGGCCACGTACCGGAAAATGCAGCGTGGGACGTCCACCTACAAGGTAGACCGACGACATCATAAAGGTAGTAAGAAGGCGCTGGATGCAGGCCGCTACCAACTGGGCGATGTGGAAATCATTGGGGGAGGCCTATGTTCAGCAATGGACGTCCTGTGGCTGAAATGATGATGATGATTGTATCCCTTAGTCGTCTTCAGTAATAAAATTGGACAAGTAGGTAGGTAAATTCTCCGAAATATATGAAACTTTTCATATTTGTACGGTTTCTTAGGCACATTTAGAAATTTGATGTACGTAGGGAATTCTATACGAATCCAGAAAAAGAAAAGTTTTTTGTATGGTACAGGAAATACGATAGGTGACCTATTAAAGTTTTATTTTGTTTGTGTAGGATTTACTTTATTATTTTTGGATAAATAAAATCGTACAAAATAGGAAATAAAGTAGGACGGTGGTATGAAAGTTACGGTGTCAATAAATACATAGGTCTTTAGAAAGTCAAGAGGAGTTTTATTTTTAGGAACTTGAATAGTTTTCCAATTAAAATCTCAATATTACCTATGCACTTTTCAATAATTCAGTATCTTAGTACCTATTTAATTCGTGTTTTTACTGTACTTAAGTTTTAGATTATTAAAATAACTTATTTAATTAATTAAGAACTAAGATCTGATTAGGTAAATCAATGTCATATATAATACTACATGGTAGGTAGGTACTAAGTTTCTATTGCATAAAAACAAGCCAAACTTAATGCAAATAAATGATTTGATTATTTAGTTTGTCTTATTGAACTTTTTACCTAGTTTGGCATTCTACTTTATGACTTTATATCGGTTCTTTTAGCACTCTTTACGTAGGTGCTACAGATGTTTTCAAATCGTTGTTTTTTCGTAGAGTTAGCAATAAAAACAAGTTGTTTGCGTGGAGCTAACTGTCTTGTTTGCCCACAACTTGGATCCTTAACTTTTAGGTACTTTTAATGCTCTTCATTGGTCTAGTACGGTAGAGACTTTAATTGTAAGACTGTTTGTAGACATCCATTTTTCCACCGGACGACGGACCGTCAATAAACGGATCCTTTGTTTGTTTTAAATTTTCTCACCGGACCTACGAGTATGTCCGATACGTACACACGTTCATTATACACCATACACCACCGCTAAGTTAGGCGAAAAAAATTGGACCATTGTTGTCGGGTCAAAAAAAGGGTGACACACGAACCAATCACAGAGCTCTATTTAACGCTGTGCAATCGATTGCAAGCATCGTTTGTGAATACGGGCGTTAGGAGGCGTTAGGATACTATAAAATCGGTCATGAAACTTTGTTGTCAAACAAAATAACTTACAACTTGTCACAATAAGTACCTATTCGTCTCTATGACGCAATTAAGAAATTGTTACAACGCGCCATTAAATTAGTTTTAGAACTATAATCAAGAATTTAGATCAGTTTCATTTGCAATGACAAAATAGGTAACAGCAGTTTACGTTCCTATAACCAAAATATAAATATTTAACGCACTTTAAAACTGGGCAACTATTTTAAAATTTATTTGTGTACCTTTGTGTCTACTAAGTGAAATAGCTATTTTATTTTTCTGATAAAAATAAGAAGTGAGCATTTCCTTAATAAAATGGCTACATTTAAAAACTTACTCAATATTTCCTGCGGTCAGTGCCTCGGACGTTCCGTTAAAATAGGTAATTTTATTTTAAAATATCAGGGAATTTTTCACAGTTCGAAGTTTAGACTTTTAAAAAGCTAGATTTAATATTTTTTTCCTAAATATTTATTAATTCGATAGGTATACTCCAGTAACTATTTTGTAGACCATGTCTACAAATGTAGTGTAGGTAAACCTTCTAGATGGACCGACGATCTCAAGAAGCTACAAGTGAATGGATTACGGCCATAAAAGTTGAGGTCAAACAGCAAGATTCTGGAGTGGAGAACAATACAAGCGGAGAGCGTAGGACATCCACCCACAAGATAGATAGATGACCTCATGAAGGTAGCAGGAAGGCGCTGGATGCAGGCCGCTATCAACCGTGCGATGTGGAAGTCATTGAGGGAGGCTTATGTTCAGCAGTGGGCTTCCTGTGGCTGAAATGATGATGATGAAGCTAATCTGATAAGTAAAGATTTTCCTTAATTAGATTCCGGGTGAAGCTCGCTTCCACCTTCGGCCTGATCGTCACTTACCATCAGGTGAGATACAGGCCAAGATTAGCGAATCCAATCAATTCTATTATTTTCATCATCATTTGCAATGACAGTTTAACTTTCCCCCGGGACAAACTAGGCCTTCACTGGTTGGGTTATTAGCGGTCAAGCTGTAGATCCTGGCTGCACAGGAGTTGCAGCGGTGGGAACGAGAGGTGGGAATAGTCCCGTGCTCCCGCCATCATCATCATCAAATCATTAAGTTCACTACCGGAACAGGACTCCCTCTATTTTATTTACCAGAAGCAAAGATGTATCTAACTATTTATAGCCTTCTTTTTTGATTCAGAATCGATTAAGTTTGGATAAATCTTGAGTTCTCAATTGACATTTGACAGACGTCAAAGATTCCAAAATAAAAATAGTCTGGATTTTCAAGGTAAAATATTTTTCTCATTTTTCTATTAGAACTAGATAACTAATTTAGAGGAAAGATTTTTCTGTTTGTATTGAATACACTCCGAAATACTCCGAATACACGGGACCGATTTTGAAAAGTTCTTTCACCACCAGAATCCTACATTTTCTGATAATCATAGGCAGTACGAAGTTCTGAACATTGTTGTCCATTGCTGAACATAGGTCTCCCCCAATGATAATCCATATTGCCCGGTTGGTAGCGGCCTGCATCCAGCGCCTTCTTGCTACTTTTATGAGGTCGTCGGTCCACCTTGTGGGTCCTAAGCTGCGCTACCTATCCTAGTTATTTCTTTATTTTCAGATCAAACCAATAATTCTGAAGCGAACCACACCATGAATCTCTATGGCCTCTTGAAGAAAATTCTCCGGCGATTCGCAAAATTTTACTGAACCAATGTATTTGATTAAATTCCTTCTGTTTATGTACAGATACAATATAAATTGGCAGAGCGAATTTAGGAAACAAAAATTAGGATCTATATTTCACTTTTAACTCTGCTTTTTAAACTTATCTTATTCGAAACAGACCATGCTTCTATCCATATGTGTAGATTTGTTGAATTCGACCTACAGTGCCATAGCGTACTATTACTCACAATACAAAGCGTCACAGCTATCCACTATTATACCCAGAGCAAGAAACTACATTCACAATTACAATAAACCAACTTTTGAATAATGCGGAATTCAGTCTATTTTTGATTCAATTCAATATCAATCCGCTCCGTTAATTTCCAATCCACCCGGTTATACAATCCGATCAGTTTCGATTCAATCCAGTCGGTTAACTTTCAATCCAATTCAAATTCAGTCCACCCGGTTAATTCCCAAGCCACCTGGTTTCCTTTCAATCAGCCGGTTAACTTTTAATCCATACCGTTAACTTTCAATCCATAGCGTTAACAATGCCCCTCTCTAAGTCGTAAATTAAAGCATTCCCAGTTTCTTTCATCTTGAAAATATAACTATGAATTATAGTCAAATAAAAAAACTAGATGAAGAAACTTTAGAAAAACTGACTGAAGGCACAGGGCCCAGCGACCAATGCCTGTGTTCGATACTAGCACCGCCTGATGGTGAGAAAAAAGGGTTCAGAGCATCAATCAAGAAGGCACTAGCGTCGTTTGGAGGAAGAGGCGGGAAAAACAGAGCGGTGTACGGACAGAATAGCGTTGACATACCACTTACTTTTTCAAAGGGAGGAAAAGGTACGTTTGGAACATGATTTGTCATTTGGGCATTTCTACTGCACGGTGTATTTTTTCTCAATTCGGTGCTAAAATTTATATTTAGTTTTTTAAGTAGTTTTAATACAAAAAAATAAATTTTACTCCATTCTGAATGTAAAAATAGCATTGTCACTAAATATTGTGAAGTGGTTTATGAGAAAAGTTAAGCACCGAATTGAGAAAATGAATCACGGAATTGAGAAATGAATCTCCAAACATAAAAATCGCTCCGCAAACTTAGAATTGACGACATTATGAAGAAATACCTAATGTATTTCAATAATCAATATAATAAATACTTAAAACGTTTTGATATCTGACTGCTGGTCTATTAGTTAGATGGTTCATTTTAGGTTTATGTGTCTGAAATACCAATGGAATAAAACAAAAATCCTAATCATTATGTTTATTTTTTTAATAAGGAACTATAAATAAATTCTTAATGTTTATATATTATTTTAATTTTATTTAATTAAACAAATAAATACATAACACAGGGTCTCTTTGTTTATTTATTCTTAACCTTAAACATATAACAAATATTGCAAGACCCAAGAGCTAGATTGACCTGCCACTATACCGAAGATAATATATCGGACGTCAGTTTGTACACGATTAAAATGGCTCTCAAATAGCTGAAATACAACAAGGCAGGCACCGGGTATTACGGCATCATGGCTGAGCTTCGCCGGTACTAAAGGCTCTACAGAAGCAGTTCAATTCCGTCATTCTCGAAGAAAAAACGCCTTCGGCATGGCAAAGAAGTGGTGATAGCATTATAGACTCATCTCACTTATGAGGCGTGTTTACAAGCTGTTTTCGAAAGTCCTTACGAATCATCTCGCTCGACGACTTCCAGTCTTCCGAACAAGCTTGTTTCCGAATAGGCTTTAGTATTATGGTACACACACAGGTACGCTACGGCAGATTATACAGAAGATCAAGGAGTCGCGATATCGTGGATGATATCGGAGTCATGGCTGAGACCTTGGAAGATCTAAGCACAATGCTCGATGGCCTCCGTAGAGCCTCTCAACAAGTGGGTCTCAAAATGAACATGGATAAGACAAAAATCACGTCAAATGTCCGTGTTGCACCCACTCCTCTGAAGGTTGGAGACTACACTCGAAGTTGTTGACAATTGTGTATACCTGGGACAAGAGTCCAGAAAGTTAGGTCCAACTTTGAGAAAGAGGTCTATCGCTGAATTCAACTCAGCTAAGCATCGATCGGGAAGCTTCGCTATTACGTCTGAAATAACGCAGTGTCTTAAGACAAAAGTCTTCGACCAGTGTGTGTTGCCAGTGATGATGTATGGATGTGGAACGTGGTCGCTTACTATGAGCCTAATAAGAATCAGAAATGTGAATATCGGCAAGAGAACCAAAGTGACCGGCATAGCCCGCAGAATTGCATAAATCAAGTAACAGTGGGCGGGGCACATAGCTCGTACAGATAATGGCTGTTGGGACTGAGAAGTTGTCGAGTCAAAACCACGGACCAGTGAGCAAGCCCCCCACTAGGTAGACCGACGATCTGGTGAAGGTCGAGGGAAGAACCTGGAAGAATTATTTTGATAAGATAGCAATAGCAGTGTATTTTTTTTAATGAAACCTCAAAAAATAAGTTTTATTGTCTTCTGTCCAATGACTGGTAGTTCACCCTATTATTATGCTCTATTGATTTAATTAATATTTTAAGATACACAAACAATTTATAGCACAATAAAAGTCTCTATTTTTCATTTAATATCAATTCGGTGTACGTGTTTTCTCAATTCGATGCCCCATATTCCGCGGAATTGAGATCCACGGAATTGAGGAAAAATCACATTTCATCAAATTACTCGAAAATATTATAAATTACAACAATTTCTTACAAACGTAATGGCAGATATCAGTTAAATACTTAATTAATTCAGCAGTGATCTCATTAAATACTTCATGAACATTATTAATGTCGCACACCGGTTTGAGAAATGACCAGTGACCAAAAATACTGAGTGATTTCAAACCTCTGAAAAATGCTCCTCAAAGCGACAGATCCCTCTTTTATACTGCTCGACCACTCGAGTGCAACTGCTAGTTAATGGGAATCAGTCGTGGGTGTTCGTACTGTGCGTAGTTAGTGATATAGAAGCACAAAAGTAAAAATCACGGAATTGAGGCACACACTTCGGACAAAATTTAAATGTGTTACTGTATTAAAACCCAAGGACTTACAATAAAGAAACTCATTTATAAGGCTTTATTAACTATCCCTTGTTCTGTGAATGTGGGTATCATAATGGGTAAGTTATTATTTCAAAAGTTATGAAGCAAAAACGAGTAAATTCTGGAAACCGGACACTCCATTTTAGGCCAAATTTCGCCCGTTTTTGAACTTTCGGATTTTTTTAAGGCGAGATGTAAAACCTGGCGGTGTTCTAAATATGCTCTCCATCAAGTCAAGAGTCCTATAAATACGTGTGATTTTTTTCAAGTCCGTACTTCAATTTTAAAGGTACTTTTTTCGCCCCAGTAGGTCGATCGGTCGTCCCCGTAGAAATGCCCATTTGTGAATCTTCACACATACAGAGAGAGATAGAAAAGAGAGAGAGAGAGAGAGCTAGTGTAGATATAACTCTCTTTCTATTCTTCTTCTGACCTCTTTGGAGAGCGAGTTCGTTTCAGCCAAATGACGTCCACTGCTGAACAAAGGCCTCCCCCAAGGATTTCTATAACGACCGGTCCTGCGCTGCCTACATCCAGGTACTTCCCGCGACCTTCACCAGATCATCGGTCCACCTAGTGACCAGACACTACGTCTACCGGCCCGTGGTCGCCACTCGAGAACTTTTCTGCCCCAACGGCCATCAGCTCTAAGAGCTATGTGCCCCGCCCACTGCCATTTCTAAGTTAGTTATTCTATATTTATAAAAGCGAAAGGTCACTGATTGACTCACTCACTCATCACGAAATCTCAGAAACTGCAAGTGCTAGACGTCTCAAATTTTGCATGGGGGTTCCTTTTAGAACGTAGGTGCTCACTAAGACGGGACTAAGACAAAATTCAACCCCTAAGGGGCTAAAACGGGATCCACGCGTACGAAGTGGCTGGCTATAGTCTGGTCCGTAAGCACGTAGAATTTTGACCAATGACCCCATGCTACCCATCCTTATTGCTCGCGCGTAATTAAGTTGCTATCGCGCTCGCACACTCACTGCGGGTGCCAGTCGCACAGTCGCGACAGCAATATAATTACGCGCGAGCGATAAGGATGGGTAGCTAGGGCCCTAGCGATAAGGATGGGCCGGCCCAAGTAACATTTTACTCCATTTAAGAGTTCAATAGTCGTTCACATGTACTCCACAAGCTGTGTATGTCAGCTGTATACGAGCTGTATAGCTTGCTATAATGCTTTTATAGAACCAGTTTGGGCACAAATTAGACAGCTTTAAGTTCACTATGGCTGTACATTAGCAGTATAATAGCATTATAATAGCAGTTTAAGTAGTAACATCGTACTTAAGGCTGACTTACGGCACTATATGGGACGCAGTGTGAACCATACAACGTACGTGAGGACAATAAAGAGTAACAAGTGGCTAAATGCACAGCTTTCAAAGTTATAAAGTCCGACAAAAGTACTCCAATGCTACTAAGGGGGCGTCCATAAATTACGTGAGACAATTTTGGCTATTTTTCAACCCCCCCGCCCCCCTTGGTGAGATTTGGTGAGATTTTGCCTGACCCCCTCCCCCACCCCCAAATCTCACGTGATATTAAAAAAAATCCGAAATTTAATAGTTTTGGAGTAATATAACTGAGAATATTTTTTTGTGTGCTTTAACGTTGTCGCTAACGAGTGCATCAAAAAGATCTATAAAGTTGAAGATTTTAGTTCTTGAAAGTATCTGCTAGGGACGCTGTACAATCATCATACATCTAATGTATGTCATTTTTTACGCAGTCGCTAGCGGATGAAGATTGATGTAAAGTCGCACTACTAAGCCCACTGATTACGAATAGATCCAGAAAAACACGTGTACTGACAGCGGTTAGTACTAGGGTCACGTGGTTTTTTTACAGAAGTACCTAGTCTAATTGTTCCTTTCTACAAAATCACTAATAATCTAGCAAAATCGATTTTGATAAAAAAAGAACTTGTTTTATAATTTTCTTAATTTCGTCATTTATTCTGCATTTTAGTATTCACACATGCAGACAGAAGCATTTTTAGTTTTATTTTTAAATAATTTTTTTAGTGTAGCTCCCCTACATGTAAAGTGGGGATGATTTTTTTTTTCGTCTTCTACCCCATCGTGTGGGGTATCGTTGGATAGGTCTTTTAAAATGGCTTAGGGGTTTCTAAGACCATTTTTCGATTTAGGGATCCGTTTGCAAAATGTTAAAGTTTAAAGTGCCAATTTTTGTCTGAGTAGGGCGTCCCCCCCGCTAAAAACTAAACTGTTGGCTTGATAAATCTGGAAAAATTCAAGATTATAGTGCTTTTTATGAACTTTCAAGGAAAACTATAGCGGTTAAGATAGATTAGTTAGTTCAAGAGTAATAGTCGTTTTACTCATGTATTATAAAATTTCATACCTAATAAAAATTCCTTAGAAGAAAATATTAAAAGTGACTTTAGATAAAGTAATTGCTTACTTATGAAATATATTGTGATAACGACGGACAACTACGGAACCCTACACTGCGCACTTGGCCAATTTTTTTACTTAAGATCTAACCCAGTTTTCTGGCAAACTCTATTTCTCTATTTCTTGTGGGAAAAATACGTGATATTTCCCGAGACACCCCCTCTCCCCCACGTGAGACTTAGTGAGGTTTTTGTTGACCCCCTCCCCCCCCTAAAAGCCTCACGTAATTTATGGACGCCCCCTAATTAGATATTGGAATTCGTCAAACATTCAAAGTTTAGGCAAGAAAATGGAATAATAATACGTTTGACGTCACAAAAACACCCTCCCGTGCCGCTCCCATAGACCTATAATAATATTATGCCTAAACGATGCTTGCTTAATCGAACGCACAGCGTCAAATATACCTCTATGATTGGTCCGTGCGTTACCCTGTGCGTCTACGCGCGCACTGTGAGACCTCATGTTTGTGAATACGGGCGTTAGTTACTATCTGGAAATAAAAATACATCATGGAAAGAGTGGGATCCAGCGCCATAATATTATGGAAGATTCGGACGCACCCACGTCTATATTTGGGCTACCTCTAGACAGAAATTACGCTGTTGATTGTGTCGGCCATGTAGTAACGTGCTAAGAGAGAATCGATGTTGCTAGAAAACTGGGAATATTGACTTTTTGTAACTTTCCTGCTTACTTAGACTTGACCCTTACTCCTAGTAAAGAGTAGGTACCTACTTATTATTACCACTTGATAATAATAAGTATGTACCTACTCTTATACTAAGAGAAAGGGTGTGTGTAAAAGCGTTTTTTAACACCTAATCCAATCAATACAAATTAGAGCCGACAATGTCGTCATACATGAGGTCGTGACGTCACATGAACGCTCTGGTACGGACGGGGCAAACGCGGGGAGGTGTGCCGCGGGTAAATGGGAGCTAGAGTCGTATTCCAACGTTTCAGAACCGTTCAACAGACTCACAGCTATACCTACCGCTGATCCTACAATGTTGTTCGTACATATACGGGTGTTCACTTGACCTGACCGCAGACCGCATCCAGTGTGGCAATTCCTTTTTACGATAAGACCTTAACAAGAAGTCTTTGCTCATCTCCGCTTTGGTGGAAAACCTGCCCGTAAGGCACGGCCTACCCATAAGGCCCTGTTTCCACCAAGGCGGAGCGGAGCGGAGATGTGTTTTGAATAAATCAGATCTCATTATTTCCACATCTCCTCTCTGCTCTGCAACGCTACGCCGCCGCCGCTGTCTAATTCTATAGAAATATGAGTCTGCTCGACACATCTAACTATCTTCTCCGCTCCGCATTGGTGCCAATCGGGCCTAAGGTGTGAAGTACGGCCAACTAGCAGCGACACAAAAGGTCGATACGACTGTCGAGTTGACAACATAATTATTCTGTCTCTTCCCATCTTGTGTATTTGTCGTAATGTCTCGTTCTCCCTCCAAAATATGTCAAAATCAAACGGGTTCACCCATGACATTAGGTTTGTTTACATTTGGTATCGCTTCTCGTTGACCGTACTTTAGTCAATTCACAAAAAGTCTGACTCCGCTGTTCCCCGCAACAGATACGTCGTAACCTTATACAAGATGGCCGCCGCCCATTCTTAGAACGGCCAAGTAATGCACGACCTGTGTTTATGTGTATTTAATACGTAATAAGCTTTATTAATATTAGTATTACTAGCTGTGCCCGCGACTTCGTACGCGTGAAAATAAGTTTGAATCACAATTCCCGTTTTTGCATTACTTAGGTAGGTACTTCAATGGTTTTTTATTATTTATTTATTTATTTGGAAACTCAACAGCTTTGACGACAATTTACATGTTACAGAGTAGTACATTACATAATTAGCTAATTACAGAGTCTCACAGCTAATTTAAGTGTGTACGAACAACAAAATAAATTAATGATGTACCTACACTCAATATCAAACCAACCATACCTTCCGCGAGGCGAACTTTAAAGATTTTTTTCTGACACAATCATAGTGCCCCAACAATATTGGTGTTATTTGAAAACCCAATAAATATCCTTAAAGAAAAAAAAATATACTTACCTACCATTATAAAACATTTTTGCAACATTTTTCTTTACTGCTCCGCCCCTATTGGCTGTAGGGTGATGTTATACAGGGTGTCCCAAAAATATTTTCAAGCCGAAGCCCAGAGGTAGAGCATCACTAGGGCTACCGGAATCACCGCGACTTTTGATAGGATTTCAGGACTGACATTCAGGATTTTTTTATGTTTTTTAGTGTTATGGATGTAAATATTTCTGAATCAGAACGCCTAGTATTCCTCTAAAAAAATCAGGCATGTACCTTAACTATTAGCGTCATAGTAACCAAAAAAGTACCTAAGCATAGCAATTTCGTTCTCTGTCCTTAACTAAGTGATGTTCATCGTAATAAATGTTTCTTTCTTTCAATTTAAAACTATAGAAAATCGCGGAACATACATATGGGGGTTGATTCGGATAGCTCTAGTGATGCTCTACCTCTGGGCTTCGGCTTGACAGTACTTTTTGGGACACCCTATATAGCCTCAAGCCTTTCTCGATATCCAACACAAAAATATTTTTTCAAATCGGACCAGTAACTACATAGTTTCTTAGATTTATAGCGGAAGCAACCAACTCTTCAGCTTTAATAAGAAACAGTAATAGATTCAAATTATTTTAATTTGTGTTGGATAGCCCATTTATCAAGAATGCTTTATTTAGGCTGCATAACATCACCCTACAGCCAATAGAGGCGGAGCAGTAGAGAAAAATGTTGCATAAACGGGAAATAATTCAAACTATTTTCACGCGTACGAAGCCGCGGGAACAGCTAGCATTAAATATTTGGTTGCTGCGTACATAAATATTATTTACTATGATAAATTGTGGCCTTCATAAAACTTTACACAGGTGATTTAAATTTCAGAATAAGTTAATTGTAAAATATAGACTTTTATAGAATGACGTCATTTAGTGTTTAATCATTTTGTAAATATGTAACATTGTGATGATATAAAATAAGCAGTTTGTGCA